TCTACACTAATAAATGAATTGGTAAGCCTTAATCAATTGTGCAATATAGCTAAGTAATCATCATATAGTATTCCTCCACATATTCAAGACTTGATCATACTAGTGGTAATGCATTCTTTATAGAAGATACTGAGTACTGGGAACCTGATAGTAATACTGATGGTATATACCAACAATTATCTGATAGGAAATACATAGAAATTATAAGACACCAAATAAAGTAAGAGAGAGAGAGAGAATACATAAGGACAGTAACAGGAAGACATAATGTGAACAGTAACATGTATGGCTTCATGAATATGTACACATTCTCACTCCAATAGAGTAACAGATTATTTAGGATCAGGACAGTTTGGTACAGTTAATAAAGGAGTATGGACTACACCTACTGCTGGATCAGTGTCTGTTGCTATTAAAACACTTAATGATAATACTTCAGAGGATGAGAGAGTAAAGTTTCTACAAGAGGCAGCCATTATGGGTCAGTTTCATCATCCTAATGTTGTTAAACTACATGGAGTGGTCACCATTGGACATCCTGTGAGTTTGTAGTATTACTAATGATTGTACTCTTTAATAATTATTAAATGTTGTACATAGATAATGATAGTACTGGAATTGATATCTGGAGGTGACTTGAAAGAGTATCTTAACAAATTTAAACCATCGTAAGTTTATATCAATAGTGGCACTAATATCTCTTGTCTTTCTCTTCTCTTAGTCCTGGGGAGTTAGTATTATCATCAGTTCCTTCTATTTTGCTCTCATTATGTCGTCAAATTGCTTCAGGAATGGAGTACTTGTCAAGGAAGAAGTTTGTTCACAGAGATCTTGCAGCAAGAAATATATTAGTATCAGATGAAGGAACAGGAATATGCAAGGTAAGAGATTAGTACTAACAATTGGACTTTATATAGTATGGTCTCAGATTGCTGACTTTGGTATGTCAAGGGATCTACAAGATGAATCTTATTATATTTCACAAGCAAAAAAGATTCCAATAAAATGGACAGCACCAGAAGTAATTAGAAACTATATAATTAGAATATTGAATTGTGTATGTATAGGCATTACATTATAAGAAATATTCGAGTGCTAGTGATGTGTGGAGTTATGGAGCTGTAATGTATGAGATTTGGTCTTTAGGACATAAACCATTTGAAATATACACTAACCAAGAAGTATTATTCTATCATGCCTAGTTGTAATTGACCAATCAGATTGCAGAATACCAGGTTTCTAAATCTATTAGATACCTCCCGGGAACACTTATTAACCTCC